GAGATTTCTCACAAATAAATTTGAGATGAAAGATATTGGGGACGTCTCCTTTGTCTTAGGATTTCAAATACTTAGAGATCGTTCTCGAGGTATTTTAGGATTGTAACAAAGGAGCTATATTGATAAAGTTCTGGGTAGATTCTCCATGAAATATAGTAAACCAGGAGACACACTTGTTGCTAAAGGAGACAAGTTTTGTCTCGAGCAGTGTCGCACTAAGGATATTGAAAAGGAAGAGATGCATAAGGTTCTATATGCTTCAGATGTAAGAAATCTTATGTGTGCTCAAGTTTGAACCTGTTCCGACTTGGCATTCATTGTATGAGTTCTTGGTGAATATCTTAGCAACCATGGTATTCAACACTGGATAGCAGGTAAAGAGTATAATGTGCTACCTGAAAAGAACAAGAGACTTCGTGCTCACTTATCGTAAGTCGGATAACTTGGAGATCATTGAGTATTCTGATTCATATTTTTTCAGATGCCCGGATAACAAATGTACCACATTTGCTTACATCTTTCTCTTGGCTGGAGGAGTCGTCTCCTAGAAGTCTTCTAAATAGACTTTAGTGGCTACTTCCACCATGGCAGCAAAGTTTGTGACTTGCTTTGAAGTATCAAATCATGCAATTTGGCTGCGGAACTTTGTCACAAGCATGCGCATTGTTGGAAGCATTGAAAGGCCTTTGAAGGTTTATTGTGACAATATTGCAATTGTGCTCTACTCCAACAACAATATGAGTTCTACAAAATCGAAATTTATCGATATCAAATATCGTGTTGTGAAAGAAAGAGTTTAGGAGAAACAAATTTTGATAGAACATATAGGGACAGACTTAATGCTAGTTGATCCACTCACCAAAGGTTTAGCACCTAAGACTTTTCATGGGCATGTTTCTCATACGGGTCTTGGTTTTAAGATTGCCTTAGACTAGTGGGAGTTTTTTCCTTAATTTTTTACGTTCTATGCTTTGGTTTTATTTTGGTACAAACTTAATGTTATGTTTAATTTTCTTGAGAAATAAAATTATGAGGTATTATTGTTATAATAATATCAAGTTTTTTTTGTTATGTGCAAATATTATAACTTTGAATTGCACCTAAGGATCTTCAGTTTGATCTCACTAAATACTCCAGTAGGACCAGTTGGAAATATGTATAATTTAGAGATCACATTGCATGAAATTTCTATGCAACTCATCCATATCGATCTATGACATCAAGTACATTGATGTGGTGGTCGTTGGGGTTCTGTCACGTTATATGTTATTGACGACAGTCGCGGTGATTCCATTATTTATGTATGAGATAGATCAGATTATAAAGTTGAAATCTAAAGATAAATTGCATTTGAATGCGCGTCTAAAGAATTATGATATAATTATTAAGATATATTGGTCAAGTGGGAGATTGTTGGAATATTTTAATAATTTTTTAATATATTAATATTCCAATAATTATGTGGCCAAATATATTATTTAAATATATTAGCTATTTTATCAAATAAAGTGCCTTAAATAATTATGTGATCAAATAATGTTAAAAGGATATTTAGATTTTATTTTGAAATTATTTAATTAATTAAATAAATAAATAATTGGGAATGGACTCAAATATGAGTGGATGTCAGGATGACCCCTTTGGGAATAATGAGAACCCTAATTAGTCATCACACTATATATAGACTATGGTTCCCAATATACCGTAGACAAGCAAAATTATCTCTTCTCCCCATCTGAAGAGAATTCGAGGCATAATTATTAAGATATATTGGTCAAGTGGGAGATTGTTGGAATATTTTAATAATTTTTTAATATATTAATATCCCAATAATTATGTGGCCAAATATATTATTTAAATATATTAGCTATTTTATCAAATAAAGTGCCTTAAATAAGTATGTGATCAAATAATGTTAAAAGGATATTTAGATTTTATTTGGAAATTATTTAATTAATTAAATAAATAAATGATTGGGAATGGACTCAAATATGAGTGGATGTCAGGATGACCCCTTTGGGAATAATGAGAACCCTAATTAGTCATCACACTATATATAGACTATGGTCCCCAATATACCGTAGACAAGCAAAATTATCTCTTCTCCCCATCTGAAGAGAATTCGAGGCATAAGGAGTACCGGTTGAGAAAGAACCACAAAAGTCATCATCAACTTCTCGGTTTAGGATTACTGTCAAAAGAGATTTTTCTCAATGGATCCAAGTATTCCTAAAATTTATTTATTGATCCTTTAATTTTATACATGCTTGATTTTCGCGTTTAAAATTATATGTTGTAATTTCTTAAGCATGTATGTTTTGATCGATTGTTAATGATTTAGTTCTAACACCAAATACTCCCAACATCCAAAAAGCATTGTTGGATGCACCTTTTCTACACACCCCTTAAACGAAATTATTAAAAACTCTTATTATATTAAAAATTGATCTGAAGATGTATCTCTGTATGTATAAAAGGTTGATTCAAATATGCATCTCTGTAATTTTCTTTGATTCATTAATATGTGAGTTTTCCGAAGATGCATTTCCGAAATATGTTTTGTTAGTTCAAATCAAAAACAGACAGAAACAACAATGGGAGAATGAAAACTCAATATAAATTAACATCAAAATAAACATTATATAGATAAATATTACATAAATTTAACATTACATGTCATTACAAACGGTTGGTTCAGGACTGATCTTCGACTGGTCTTTAAATTGTCGCATTCACCTCAATCAGACCCTTTATCGAGTAATAGTAAGAGGTATTCCACGTAACCTTCAAATCATCATCAGTCTTTAGTTCAAGCATGGTGAATTGTATCTTCTCTTCATTGTCAATCGAGGGTGAATGGTACTCGAGTTTGATAATTCTTCAATTTTCTGAATATCGCAAGAGAATATTCAATTTAGATTTTAGATCGACGAGAAGTATGTCCTCGGAGCCTTAATTTGAAGTGGGAAGTTTGTGTCATTAAAATGCACAAATGCAAGATGAGAATAAGAAATTATGATGGCTTTTGTATAGAAATGGATGAGAGATCCTATTTATAAAAATTATAGATCAATAAGAACCTTACAAACCTTATCATATAATTGGGATAGACTTTGGAGATACATATCTGGATTCGCCATTTTTTTAGAATAAAAAAAAAAGTCAATCGAGAGATGCATCTTCTGAGTGGAAAGAATGTTTTCGAGAAAATTGAGTGTTGTTTGAGCGTGAAGAAGAAGATCATGCAAGAGATGTTTTATCCAATTTTTCAATAGACATTTCCGAATATGCATCTTCGAAAATATCGTTGAACCCTCAATTTAACCAGCTCAGTGAATAAAAACACAATAATTTAATGCAAAAGATATATCGGAGATAAATCTCCAAATACACCTAAATATTAAGATACATCTCTAAACTATATTTTTTTTTTTTTTGCAAAATAGGGTGAAATAAAAAAATTGGTGTGATTTTGGGTGCGCCCAGAGATGCATCTTCAAATGCATGAAAGACATTTTCAAAATTTCAAGGACGTGAAATAAACCACTAAGAGTGAAAAGTGTTTATGAACAATAAATGTCCATGGGTGTGTTCCAAAATGATAAAAAAAAAAGTGAAAGTGAGTAAATGTCAATAAATGATTAGGAAATAGTCTCATATAGAAAGTTTCACTCACGTTAAAAGTCTTTATAAAGAGTTATGTGTATTAACTCAACAAAAGGATAAAAGAGGATAAAGTGTCACTTGACCAAGTGTGGTGGTCCCAACCATTATGTGACTTGTCTCCTCCATACAACCACTCGCCGATGACACCACCGGCTCTGGGACCAGCTCCGAGGACATGGGTGTAGAGGCGCTAGTGGCGACTTGTAGGCGGCACTTGAGCATTTAGGCACGATGCATCAGACTACTCGCGGAGTCATTGGCGGCCTTTGGACGGGCTCATTATTGCTCTTGTTTTTGTCGATGCATGCGTTTGAATTTTTAAATTTAAAGAGAAACAACACTTCGTGAAGTGTTGTTGCGGAATGAAAAATGGCAATGCTTGAAAATAATGTAGCCTTTAGTTTAAATGTGTTGTTTCATTTGAACTAATTCCAAACTTTCTTCGCTGCAAATCGAAATTTTATGAGTCTTGCGCAAATTCAATATAAAGCTTAATTATCCTATTTATTCATACATTCCAACTCTAACATATATTTTAGAATACTTAAAATAGTTTTAAAAATAATTTTATTCACGATTCAATCGTAGGTCCAATTGACGTTTTTAATATTTCTAACCAAAATTGCATCTCTCTAATACTAATCCTCTAATAATAATGTGGCACAACTGAGTTATGGATTTGGACAAGCACAATAAATAAGTGGGATTGAAGATTGGTGTTTGTTAAATTACTCTGAAAATCAATAAATTTTCAAAAATTAGAAAAAAATTAAGAGGGGGAACTAAAACCTAGTTTTAAAAATAAACTAAAAATTAACTTTAGTAAAAAATAAATATACCCAAAATACATTTAAACCTATTATTTGTATACTATCTAAACTAATTGAAGATATTGAAATTCTAGACTCTATCAAGTTTGAGAAATTTGGATAAACTCTTCTCTTAAAATTTAAACTATATTAATAACAAATATTCTTTAATAATTTAAAAATATAATTATAAATATTTATTTATTTTTCCCTCTACTTGGTACGCCCCAAAATCATCATTCTCCCTCTATTCTAACTTACAAACATACTTTAAAAGATTAAGCAATGATCTATTCGTTCTGAAATCAATAACTTCGGAAGTTTTTAGTAGTTTCTTATAGTCTGAAGTTTTTCAGAAGACATTGGATTCGAGAACATATTTGTAGCATTTAAGACCATCTTAAAAAAATAGCAACATACTAGTAAATGTTATTATTCCGTTTAAATTCACGTAGTTCAAAACATTAAATAATTCACAGTACTAACAATCTGGTGGTCAACAACAATGAATAAGACATCTCTTTATCACTTTATAGTTGCTCTGGAAATGGATGCTGTGCATGGTCCACCAGAAGTCATAAATGGTATCCCCTTGAATGTGGCCACGCCATTGTCATCGGTGAATAGATGCTGCATGGGCAAAATGGAATATCCATGAGCTTCTGACATCATAAAAATAAGCAATAACTATAAGTGCAAAGAATATATATACCGGTGTAATCTTCTCGAGCTGTTTCTTTTTCGGGTTTAGTACGTCTTCTGGTTTTCCATCAATCCTGAATGATGAATTACAAGAATAATAGCAAACTATTACTAAAAATTAAATGGACCAAAAAAATTGCTCCAAAGCTCGAGCGAGCTGCAGATTTCAAGGGGTTGGTCTCCAAAGCCCCCGAGCAGCAGGGACTTCGGTCTATATACCTAACTCTAGCTAACTCGAATGAAATAGTGATATTCACTTTAATGCTTTAGCTAGAGATTTTAAGTCATGAGAATAGAAAATATGCATCTGACTGCTTGGTCCAGATGATTTCAAATAGCATACCCAGCAAAAGAAACACGCTCCCCAATTTTAGCTCCTTCAGGAGGGAGCAAGGGCTCAACAATGGTGGAACCTTCATTTGAAGCACATAAGACCTGGAAAGAGAAGCCAATTGCACAAACAGCCCTTCAGACTAAATGGCCATCACAATACAGACAGAACAATGAAACATGTGTAACAAGTTACGGCACAACATGATAAAGTAAATACCAGTCCTTCAGACGTCACATCCCGTAGTTTTCCAGGTTTGACGTTTGTAATAAGTGCAACTCGACGGTTCTGTGCAAAGTGCAACATCAAACAGCAGGACAACAAGAGTTAATTACAATTCAAAATGCATACTGTCAATCACCACGCTTGGTTAGATAACTACATTACCGTTAACTCATCAGGACTGCAGTACTTTGCCAAACCACTGACAACCTGCCGCAATTTGGCGTCACCGACATCTATCTCCTCCACTAGCAAACTGCATTATTTAATTTTATAGATATATCAATTTTCATCTAAACAGATGTCAAGCATATCAAAGTACTGAAGCATCAACTCGATGGCCGAAAATTTAACATTGTGTTTAATTATAAGATTATTTGGTAGGTTTGCCAAAGTACCTATCTGCTGATGGATGCTTCCATGCTTTACGAATTAATCCAACTTGAATATTAAGCAAACTGACACTAAGTTCATGCTCTTTCTCGGCTACCTCTTTGCCAGCAGCAGGTTTTGTGGCTTTTGCCTTGGCTTTGGCTTTAGCAGGTTCAGTGTCTCCTGCGGACTTTCCATTAACCTTACAAAAATAAATGAATTGAATTGTAAATCCATGGTGAAACAACTGTACTGAGATGCAATTAGTAAGGTACAAAGAATAGGAGAAATAGTAAGTTGTAACACTCAGTCATTTCTAGCAACAGAAAATTGATTATCCACATAAGTAACAATTGTACTGAGATGCATTCTCAGTCTTCTTTGTCAAGAACTGTCATCCCGGAATTAAAGTAGTATTAAAGTAATATTCAGAATTCAGATCATTTTACTATTCTTATTTTCTTACTATGGTGTTACGTTTGTCAAGCTTTAAGTATGAACAATTTTCAATTTTGAAGGAAACCGTTGGAACAACATTTGGAGTTCTGTGTGATTAGAATGTTATAGATTAGTTTGTGTAATTGACATAGTGTATACAAGTCACTATTATAAGAAAAAAAATGCTATAAATCTTTATCACTATTATAAAGAAAAAGTTCACTACTCTTGAATTTTTTAAGGCTAATATTCCTAATCTACCATTCTTAATATACCATCCATTTCAATTAAAAAAGAATGACTTATCCACTAAGTATAAAAAGGATAATTTAGTAATTTTACTTATGCTATGCATGAAATCTAAGAAAGTAATTGCACTCAACTGAATTTCTTAATCACCGTTGAATATAATTTAGAACATTTCAAGGTAAGCATGCCCAGAATAGATCTATCATGAATATAACCTTACCATGTCATGACATTTATAGTACCAAGACCAATTTTCAACTTTTAAAAATATTGAAGTATTGCGGCATTACATAAGGATCAAGATAGATGAACATGCAATAATATCTACCGAACATGTGCAAAAATTCCTAGGCTAGTATAATTTTTCTCCAAAAAAGGCTTTATAACATTGTCAAAGATCAAACTAGCATACTGTCAGATGTAATTATATAGGTTATCATACAATACAGTAAAATAAAAGCACTTCGTTAATAGATTCAAAAACTGGTTCCTGAAAAATAATGAGATTGACTTACCTCAGATTTGTTTTTATCCTTGCTTATGTCTGTTTCTGGCTTGCTTGCATTCTTTATGCTTTGCTCAGGCTTGTTCGATTTTAAATCAGATTCCACGGCACTAACAGATTTTGTCGCCTAGAATAAAAATAATAAGAAAATGAAAAACTCGGTGCTTATTAAACTTGGCAAATCTCCCTAATGATGTTTAAAAGTGCATAATAGTATTTCAAAATACATGAACACGGGCATGGAAACATTACTCTTTCAACAAGCTTTATATCAATTAAGACCAGAATCATGCAACCCTAAGTATTACATGGAGATTGACTCCTATATCAGAATCACTGGGTCTTGTTGACTACCATGTCAAAACCGTGAATATTCTTTACAAAATGGACCCAACCAGTATTAAAATTATATAAGGAATATTTTCAAGGACTTGGTGTTATTTAACATGTGTTTATTTGAATATGTGATAACAAGTTCTTTAATGAACTGTAAGAATCTAAAACAACAACAAATGAAAAAGTATAAGACATGCATTCAAAAATGTAATTTAGAACATTTCAATTTGTAATGCATTTTCTAAAATTGATAATAAGAAAAAGAAAAAAATCAATGCCTAAAATGACTACAGATTTATAGATTGGAACTTGTCTTTGTTAAGCCTATTGATGAGAACACTCAGAAGTAATGAAGGAATTATTTCTCACCGGAGGCTCAAATTCAGGCTTCTGCAACACTATTTCCTCAAATAAGCCTACAAATTCCTGTTTGTGCTGAATAAAGAATAGCAGTCAGAAAGTCAGAACTTCGAACAATTAACAAATGGCTTTACTACATAAGTGAGAGCAAAACTGAATAAATCTATTTGTTAATGCATATTGAGAATAGCTAAACAAGTGTGTACTAACACCGAGGGTATTATAAAAACATTATACATGTTAAAACACTTCTTGAATATTTATTCAACTTGGTGATGCACATAGTTACATAATTATTAGGAAATGAACTTGGACTTCATCTTAGATTTAGAACTGCAACCTTGAGGTCCTATATGACTATAACTTTTGGAAATTCAAACACTTACATTCAAAGGTAGGATTATGTAAGTATGTATACATTTGACATTTTGGTCTAATTGCATAGCAATGTTGTCAATTGAGGTTCGCAGAAAATGGCGTTTTGTTCAAATTTCACTAAGCTATAGCACAATGACGGATTGGTCAAATTTCACTACATTATAACGCTGTAGAGCTGCTATAGCCACTAGTTTACTACACTGAAGCACACTTAAGCGGCAGCAAACCAACAATACCTGGATGTAGTCAATCCATCTCAACACATGTGGCAACTTTTCCTTGTTTGTATCTGGAAGACTGATCTGGCAATAAGCAACCAAAGACATCCTGTTAAAGCTTAAAAGTTTAATCATTGTTTAACAAACCAATTAAGTGTATCTTGTTTTGTTCTTAAAACTATACCAACACCTTCTCTTTATTACAAAGGAAACTAAAGATAACATTAATCTAACACAATCACTGATATAAGTACCCCAACACAAATCAAAAGTCTCATCGTTGTTGATATAAGTTAGATCCATATATATTGACAAAACAAGAAACATAGATTGTCATTAAAAACAAAACAAAACACTATTTTAGTTCAAGGGGAATATGTAGTAGTTATTTCTTCTAGATGCGTGGTAAGTACAGTGAATATGACAATTTGCGTACCAGGGAAGGATGAATAACTGAAAACACTATAACATCAGCTTCAGAGGGTTTCAATCCATTGCCAAGGAGCACAGACTTTCCAGAAAGTTCATCATTTAATCTCTTGAGATTCTCAAAGGACTCATCAAGAGCCACAGGAAAGGACTCTGCAAATGCTACCCACTTCAACACCTAAAAACAAAGAATATACCACTCAGAATTATTAACAGATAAAGTGCAAAACAAATAGATACTATCGAGCATATATTCCGAATTTAGCATTCAATATTAATGTTCAAAACCCATGATCAATTTCACATGGATTGACATCACTTAACTACATGCAGAAGCATACATCGATTCCAGTGAAAGAACAAGAAGTAAAACAATGAAGATACAGTTACCTCGTCAGAATGATTAACCTCGTGCCCAGATGCCGCAGTGATGCTTAAGTAAAGAGACTTAATATCACCGTCTAAACTATCAGCTTGAATAACACTCTGCAAGCAATGATAGAAACATGTGTATATCACAATCAAGTTGAAAAGAACCAATATAATATTTTACTATCTATCAGTATTTCTTGAAGAATTTTTCAATTTTCAATAACAAAACTAATATTCTAACGTCCTCTGAAATCAATTCATGATTCTGAGTTTATATCTAAGTAGCAAAATCTATCCTTACAAAGAATAATGATAAATCACAGTCAAACACAGTTGAGTGCAATACGGCATGAGATTGAAAATTACATAATATGGCAAAGCATGCACTTACAGGATCCAATGAAAAGTGCTTGGAGAGAGCCTGAACCAGTGATTTCCTTCTGTAATCAACTGAAGCCATTTCTGAGGAGGGGTGAATGATGACGATTCGTATTCTCCTTTGAACTTGGGATTATGTATATGTGCAAAATTGTGCTTGCACACTTTGTAGGGTTTTAGGTTTAGGTTTCTGGCTGATTACTCTTGGGTATGTTTTGTTCTTGGTTACTGTTTGTTTCAATTGAAAAATGAGAAATGGTTTCGTAGCTTCCATTGGATTTGAACATTGGGCCTATCCGATTTACTAGAAGGCCCGTAAACCAATATTTTGGGCCGGACTTTTTAAAATAAAATAAAAAAAGAGAGAGAGAATTTCTTATTGCATCATAGGTGTTTCTAATGCATCATGTGAATTTTCAAATATGCTCTCTAGTTTCGGAGATATATCTTTGGACGCATCCAACACACATTCAACAAAGTTCATTTTGAACTATGCCCTTTCATTTGGTTTAATTAATTTCTGAGATGCATCTCCGAAAAAAATTTGTAGTTACATCTTCGAATACACACTAGAAACATATTCAACATATCCAAAATAAAATTGACATTCATGACATAAAATGATCATTACAATTTTCAACAAAAAAATTCAATATTATATTTCAATATCTCAGTGGACGCTTGCACATCTTTAGAATATCTTCGACCGATCTTTGTAGCGTCGCTTCCAACTCGAGCGAAATTTTCTCTTCGAAACTGAAAAATGTATCCCACGTAGCCCTAACATCTGCTTGCGTCTTGAGTTCCAACTTGGTGAAATTAATCTTCTCTTCATTGTCAATCGAAGGTGAACGTTACTCGAGCTTCACAATTTTTCGATTGTCTCTGTAAGATATGAGATGGTGGATTTCATCTTTGATATTTTCGAGATAGGTCAAGTCGGTGACCTTGAATGTTCTTCTGGATGTAGAGCCAGAGAAGGACACATTTGTGACATAACAATAGATTTTTATTTGTGACATTTGAGACATTTTGAGTTTGTGTGAAATATAACATTAGAGCACCTAAATTTATAGAAGACAAAGATCAATTTGGGGCATTCATTAACTGGCACATTGTTTCCGGAGATGCATTTCCGAAATTTCTCCTGAACCACTAGTATCACACTAGAACCTTAAAACATAACGATTTTTTTCATTGACAAAAGCACACATGTTGTTATGGGGTAGATAAAAAATGCATAAAGATAAAATACGAATAAAAGGTGAATGTATAACACTTCATTTATACTGAGACACAATTACATAAAATTATTTGTCTGATTAAATAAAAAAAATAAAACGAATCAAAACATATGTCATCGGCTAAATCTATAGGTGGTACCCATTGGACTTTTATGCATTCGATTCTTTTTCAATGTTGTTCAATCTCTCAAACTCTTTCGTCCTTTCCATAAAATGATCCCGCCACGTCTCGGCTTTTCGGTTGAAAGAATTGTCCACTCCGGTGATGTAAGTGGTATGGGGCATCCTAGTTTTAAATAAACTTGAACAAGATGACTTGATTTTGAAAGTCATCCAATACACATGATAGATCATTTGAATTTTGAGGTGGGGCAGTGCATAGTAGAAAAAAGATTTCCGAAAAACCGTAATGTGTCATGTTAATACACACTTTATCATATGCACATGTTATTAGGTGACCCATATTATGAAAGCTCATCCATTTTACTTTTAGTGTTGGACCCCTCAAGTAAGGAACAAAGGACTCATCTATGGAATTACCTAACATGCAAATGTAATAGAAAATTTCAAAATGTCACCCATAATTCTGGAGATGCATCTTCAGAATATCTACTGAACTGAACACTTAAAATATTTTTCTTAAAACATTTCGGAGATCCGTAATATCTACTAATCTGAACAACTAAATTGTTTTTTTCTGAAGATATATCTCCAGAATAAAACTAACGCAAGACGTAACTCAGAATGACCTTAGTTGAGCATGCAAAATGTGCGTCTGAAAATATATTACTAGAAGCGGAGGGTATATATGAAAATTCACATGGTGCATTAAAAATATTTAAGGTGCAATAAAAAGTTCTCAAAAAAAATTTATTTCTCCTTAGTAGAAAGCCACCTTATAGAGATACGAAAATGTCCTTCAAATTCGGAATGCATTTTCAAACACATCTTATATATATATATATATATATATATATATATATATATATATATATATATATATATATATATATATATATATATATATATATATATATATATATATATATATATATATATATATATATATATATATATATATATATATATATATATATATATATATATATATATATATATATATATATATATATATATATATATATATATATATATATATATATATATATATATAAAAGATGTGTTTGAAAGTGCATTTTATTATATTTTTTTGTTACACTTACATTTTATTATAAAAAAAATTTAAAAATATATTTTTTTAAATATTACTTATTTATTTCATCCATCCCTCCACTTTATTATTTTTATTTTATGTTAATATTGTTTCTTTTATTTTTAAGATATAAAAAATAAAGTTACATATATTAATATACTAAAATTAATGTTTTTATAATATAATATTAAATGATTTTTTAATTGTCCTATTAGTGTTAGGTTAAATTTTTAACAAATTATGATCTTTATGTTAGTTTTTAAACATTTATCCAAAAATATTGAAATGACTAATCCAAATATTATTATTTTATGTTAGTTTCTTCTATTGTAAAAATTATATGAAATGAAAAAAAAATGATCGACTTAAATATCAAAAAATAAAAATTTATCTATCAAATTTTAAAATTAGAAAAATATTATGATAGAATTTAAAATACGATCACATATGTTTGTTGATCTAAATATTTTTATATAAATAAAAAATATATTGTTGATCCAAATGATTTTATAAATAGTGTTATTTTTACAAACAAAAACAAAGTTTTTATTAATTTAAATATTTTTATAAATAGTGACAAAACTAAAATAGAATTTATATACCGAAAAACAATTATTGAGATTGGTTTATTATCTCTTTTAACAATATAAACATTTAATGGGAAATAATTTTTTCTTTTTTTTATTTCATTTTTATTACATTTTAAAAACAAATAAAAAATTAAAAAATTAAAAAACGAACTATTGAATCATAAACAATAATACATTAAAAAAAATCGTAGTTAATTAATAGTTAAAATCATACCTAATTTATAGCAAATTCAAAAAGAATAAAATTTATTCAATTCTATTTACTATTAGCTAATAATTTTAGTTGAGCCACCATAATATTTCTCATCATAACTGATGTCATTGATTTATCCATAACTGATGTCATTGATTTATCCTTGTTAGTTGTCACCATTACCATTCCATTGTTGTATTTTATGGAGAGAAGTGAAAATCGTGAGCACGAAAAAGTACACGAGGAGCTCTCATTCTCTTATGATTATCATAATGCTCTTCATCCTAATTATTAATTTTCTTTCATAATAAAAGCCACATTATATTTTTCTGCATAAATTAGCTTACCATTTTATGACAACCTTTTTCGAAATTTTTTCAGCAATGTCATCTTTTTAAAAACTAAATACCAAAATGCCACACTTTTCTAACTTAATATCAAAATGTCATCTTTTCAAATAAAAAAAAATTGAAATAGGCATTGCCGCCCATTGGATTGGATGAGCGGTAGAGACAAAAAGTTTGTTTTCTTTTTTTGTTTTGTTTTTTAATTATTTTTAATATATAATTATCATTTATTAATATTAATATTAATATATATATATATATATATATATATATTATTAATGTATACATAATTATTTTCTAATTTATATTAATATGATTTATTAATATTAATATATATATTATGAATAGTACTAACATAATATATATTTATTTTTTAATACATAAGTTATATTAATTTATATCAATTAATGTATAACATTAATTTATATTAATTAATATTTATTAATTAATATATAATATTAATACATACTATATCAATTATATATTTTTTAATACTTATTTATATCAATTAACATATAATATTAATTAATATTTTAATACATAATAAATATAAATTAATATATAATATTTTAATACATGATGATTAATAAAATACACTAACGATTACTTGTTCCCATATTAGGACACCAGGTTCGATTGTGGCCCGTTTGACGACACATTGAACATTTTCTCTCAAGCTTATCGAAGTTATCCATTTATGTTGTAATACATGTGCTTACTGGGCGACCTTTCTTGTTCCTCCGCATTCTTGGGTTATAGTAAATTTGATCTCCTTCATAAACGGGCCAATATTCATCGTACGGCATCACTGGAAAGCTTGTGCTGTAAACCCCAAACAGATTGGTAATCCTATAAACGTCGGACAAAAGAGCGTAAGCGTCGTGGCGCACATTCGAACATGCAGCGATAACATGTGAGCAAGGGACACGATATGCTTGAAACTTTCCGCAGTCACACCACCCGTTCAAGAGGTCGACCTTATAATGTCCCATAGGCTTCCCCTCACCATGGTCCATTGTCTCCTTCACGCTGAAAACATTGTTAGTATAGTCAAAAATTTTGACTTGATGTGTGCTGGATTTTGTTGTTTCTTCTTTCATCACCTTGAGGCAGTTGTCTGCATATGTTTCTCCAGAATTTAACACAGCACTCCACTTTGAACCACGTTCAGCAAATAAAGATCCCAGTCTATAATATGCTGCCCTTACCAATGTTGTAATGGGCAAATTACGTGTGTCTTTAAAGACAACATTCATTGACTCAACAAGGTTGGTAGTCACGTGACCCCAACGTCGACTCCCGTCAAATGCCCTTGTCCATTTTTTGGCTGGAATATTGTCAATCCACCTTAAAGCATCTGCATTTGCCGTGCCAATCTCTGACCGATAGTAATGAAATGTTGGTTGGTTTAAAGTGTACCCTGAATAATTAAAATATCAATTAATGAAGGACACAAAAGTAATATATGTTATTGAAAAAATTTAATGCAAAATAT